AGAGGTGCCTGGCTGAATGGCCTATCAGAAGAGAAATGGCTCTTGGCTCTCTTGGAAATTATCTTTTACCTTTCAAGCTGTTCCCATTTACTGAATCCATTCCAATTTCTTCGTGGACGTATCAAAGCTATTCATTCAGATAGTATCCTTCGAAGCACTCCTATACCCTTTCTATCTTTTGTGGGTATTAATACCAAGGCTCAGACACCGATTGACAGCTGATAGGGCTTATTTTTGCCCATGCTGGTTGAAAAAAGTTATAGAGAGCAGCAGCGAAGGGCTGAAGTAGGGTGAGGTCGCTGACCTTGACCGATTCAGGTCCCATGTCCCTGAGCCACCTTGTCTTTCTCATCAATATTCAACGATTGAATGATAATGATTAAAACTGAGACCTGTTCACGTCTAAACTCAGAAAAATTTGATTTTCAAAGGACAACCGTGAAAACATAAAGATCAGTAGCTTCTCAACTTGAACTTAGTAGTTGTGTCACCCGAATTCCCAATCAAATNCGGATCCCAAACTAGAACATTTCAATAAGGAAATGGTTCTTTTTAATTGTTCGATTTTTTCAGATTGTCGAAGCAGTTCTAGCACACTGCATAGAAGTTTCATGCTCCTGTTCCAGCTGGGAATGGGAGGTGTCAGACGGACGGAGGATGAAGTGGCAAGTGGCGCACTATCACATATGCACGGTCAAAAGATCGAGTTCTGGACTCATAAACACCCAGGCCAAGGACGGCTTCCACTCCTCCGATATCGGGTGAACGATACCAGGTCACAAAGGATAAAGCACCAACTTGTTTACGCATTCAAGATGCCATCACGCTTGTGAATGCAGGGCGCATCCCATAGACGGAAATGGTTCGCCAATAAAACTTTTACTTCACCCTCCAACTGGTTTTACCCTACTTAAATATGTAAGGGCACTGCAAAAAACTTTACATTCAGTACTGGTACTATAGAAGAGTGTTTAGGATCAATAAAGGCATCTACCGCTAGAGTGGCTGAGGAAGAAATCCGATCGGAATCGAACAATTAGGTTGATCAATCGGAAATCACTCGGTGTGGGAATTTGTAGTCGTTAACCTCTTGGAGATATGATTCTCGTGATTGTTCCACTTTGAATCCCTCGATCCCCAGTCGAATGGCTTTTTTTGAGTGACATCAAGATATCGCCATCAGGGCAAAGACTTATAACGAGGTTGTGTGGAAAGAAGGGATTCCGTAATGTCATTAAATACTTTATATTTAAAACTGTCTTTTACAAAATGAAAATTGAACATGCTAAAACTTTTCCATCATTATCTATGTACAGGAATGCAATACACCACATAGTTAAAAGCTAAATGAATACTTAGGGTACTTAGGTTTAGTCATCTAATGGTAACTGTTCCCTAATGTCCTTCCGAGACGAGCTTATCATAGGCATCCAACGTGAGGAAATCGCTCATTTGCTCTTCAAGGGCGAACTTCTCCAAAAGTTCAGCTGCCTCAGGTAATCTGAAAAACAATTATTTCACAAAGTGATTCTGGAATGTAAACTGAACTACATAAAAATAAACAAAATAAATCAATGATCTGGAGAAGGCATCAGCTAAAGGCGCCGGTACCACATTTAGTGGTGCCACTCCCCGGTACCACAGTTCAACGAGAGGATCTTGGACCAAAGGCTGACTAGACTGAGCCTTCAGAGCCCTTACATCACCTGGTATTAGATTTTGTGGGGCAGTTTAGAGGTGTGGGCTTCAACATCGGCCACTTCAGAAGTCATAGTGCGTGCCTCTGTCATGCCATGCCATATCAAACCCTTATGCGATACTGAAGGGAAACAACAGCGGGGCGCATACCCAGAGGTAGCGGAATTCATAGAATAAACGCTGTTCCCTCGCTTTCTTTTCATATTCCTACCCTATTTTCCTTCCCTCGATACTCTGAAAAGATGTCCGAGGAGGAACCACTCCTCCTACATCTGACATCTTCTTCTTCCCAAAAGGGATGTTGGATCCCCTTGGTCAGGGCAAATCACCAGAAACGTGGTCTTAACACTAGCTAGAACTGATCGACTAAGTGAACACTGTATAGATTCTTCAGCAGTGGATTACAATCCTGAAATCCTGTTACAGTACCTGCTGACAACTGATCCCGCCCGGATAAGTCGCCTTTCGGTTTCAGCTGCGATTGTCTGTTTTACCAGTTGAGCATCGATTGTTCGGCCATCTGAAAGGCTTTCTCATGATCTCGTAGAACTTCTCTCGATTCAGAAATACCGTCAGGACAGCTCAGAACCCACCTTCTAATCGAGCGTCGTGCCTGAGCCATTGCCAAAGTTGAGAGCGACTGATTTCGGCTGTGGCAGCATCCTCCATCAGATTGTAGAGTGGTACGCAGCCAACACCACGCAGCCATGAATCGAGGTAGCCTGAAATTCAAAATTCTATTTCCCCCGACACAGAAGCTATCTACAAAAGCTTTTTACCTAGGGTAACGCTGATGTTATGTCGGAAACCATGTTCCGTGCGAGTGCCTTCAGGGATGGCTGTCAATTCCTGGTTCGTGGCGAAGAAGCCTTGGAGCTGAAACGGACCACAGTGACCTACTGCATCAAAGTCAGGGTTCAGGGTCTCACCTGCTTATCAATCTGATTTGGTGTTGGCATATGCTCGTCGAAGATTCTTTTAGCGATCTGTACCAATCCTGGATGGGCTACCCATGTACCATCATGTCCTGGAAGTAACTTCTGCTAGGGTAAGTAAGTGGGCGAAATAAATCTTCTTCACCAACCGTCTATCACTTCTCGGTCCTTGTCCTGATGAACTAAAGCAAGGGCTTTGCTGTTGGCGACCTGAAAATGGTACGGTTCTGCTGGAGTTTTATTCCAACGGCTTTTTGACCCACCTCATCATTCTTGATGGGAATTTGAGCGGCCATTCCACCCATGGCATGGATTCCTCGCTGATGGCATGTCTTGATACAAAGGAGGGAGTATGCTCGCATGAATGGCGACGTCATACCTGAAGTACGGTCCTTTACATGAATCTTTTTCGGAAGATCCCAACGTTTCTCCCCCAAAGACCCACCAATCTGGAATCGATCTGGCAACAAATATTTCCTGTGATTTTGGAACGTTTTGATGTAGGAGAAGATGTAATCCCAACGGCCACAATTCAATCCAACGATGTAGTCTTTCAAAGCGTAGATGATTTCGTTCATCTACAAAACCATTTCTCAGGTGCACTGGTATCAACTCAGGAAAGTCGAGCTGGAAGGACGAACTCACCTGGAAGCTGGCAAGCAGATGCTCAATGAGCACGGTGCATTTGATTGTTCCTTGAGGTAGACGGAGGGTATGCTCGGCATAGTCGAATACGTCGGCCCACAACTGTGCCTCTTCAGCGTTTTGTAGTTTAGGCAGGTAGAAGTACGGTCCAGTGCCCTTGTCCTTCAGAACCTGATAAATGGAAAAAGCTTATTGTCAAGGTATGTTGAGTGAAGAGGAGTTGAGTTTTTGGGTATTCAAGGAATCTTCCACTTACGGGAACCCTCGCAGTCAGCTCCAGCAGCGCCGAGCTCGATCCCTGGGTTTAGCAACTTCGAGCCCCGAGGACCTTCCCTTCCATTCCCGGCATTCCGCCACTAATCGATAAGATTACCGTATTATAATATTTTCCAGAAAAAAAGAAAAAACCCTTACAACATATTTCAGAAGAAAAGAAAAAACAAGGAGGGGAATAAAGAGTGAAGCTTATGGTGGGAGAGAAACATAGACCCATCTAGTTTAGGGAAAAGCTCGACCACAGGAAGGAGAACTTCGAAATAACAATTAACGTGGCCTCATTCGGTGACCGTGATGGCACCTCCTGATTCACACGCTTTAGGGTTACTGGATAGGCTTCCTTGGGTGAGGAGAATTTTTGCGATTCCTGAATATGCTTCCCTTTTCTAAAGTGGATACCCAAGTTATAATTTTTCTCAAATTTAATGACCCAATAGGTTTATGATGAAATCTCGATCGAGTAAGGCAACCACCTATAAAGAACTTCACCAAACGACCTTTTCTTCGGCCTTCCATGTTTTTTATGCCATCTTTCGGGGGGTAACGGAACTTCTCCCCGAATTCCCACGGCCTGAGCAGTGGTTCCGCAGCGACTCTCCGTATCCTTCCATTGGGAACTCAAATCTTTCCCTTCGTAGAGCGCGATCGCGTGCGGCGAGCGCGACACGCCGTTCGGGGAAAAGATGCTAGACCCATTTTCCGGAGAATGACTTTCGACAGCCTCATAATGCACGGTGTTAGTGGCGAGACAACTAGCTAGTGTCGCGAGCTTTCTACGAGTCGGGCCTGCCACTGTACTCCTCACCGTTATTAGCTCTGGACCACAGAAAAAGTTGGACTAATCTGCTTTTGATTCACATGGCTGTGTTTATGTTAACAAGAAGACTACCCTGTGTGACCAACCAATAAATTAATTTTGAAAAGCCTAAAAATATTCCTATGTCGCTTTTCCCAGCTCCTACAAGTAATACACAGTAAATAAATGACTTAATTAGAAGTGACTTGGTATTTTACCTTAGCATTGTGGAAGAGGAAAAGTCCAAAATCGAAAAGAGACCCGGATGTGGGTTTGTTATGGATCAGCACGTGCTTTTCTGGTAGATGCCAACCACGGGGTCGGACTTTCAGCACTGGAAAATTTGAGTATAAATACCTGACTTCTTTTGTTATCAATTAGTTCCTTACCAGAAACTTTTTTGTCCAAAGTGTACTCTTTCTTAGTGGACGGATGCTCATATGAAATGTTATTTCTAACGGCATCGTAGAGATTGATCTGACCATCGAGTTGATTCCTCCATGATGGTGTGTTCGAGTCTTCAAAATCGGCCATAAACACCTGAAAAACAACTTGTTTACTCATCCCAATTTCTCTGTTTACTTTAATTTAGGTGCTTATTATTCTACTGAATATCCATTGGACTATTCAATGAACAGAGTTCACCCACATTAGCACCAGAGTTCAGTGCATTGATGATCATCTTACGATCGGTGGGACCAGTAATCTCCACACGTCGGTCCTGAAATCATAAGAATGGTTTGAGTAATATTCACTTCAACTTCTCCTACCAACAAAGTCAAACGAACCATAAGATCCTCAGGAATTTCAGCTCCTTTCCAACTAAGATCCTCTCTAAGGTTGGCTGTGTCCGGTGAGAAGTCAGGGAAGTAGACTCCATCGTTGATTTCTGCAAAATTTTTCTTTCGTTACTTATTGTGGTTTTGCGCTGTTTGCGGTTTTGCACTCTGGGCAAATTTTTGACGATCAAGTGACTCTTCCCAGAAAAGACCTTTCAAATGACTGTAGTGAATTTCTTCCTATCAAAGGATTCCCTATTATCAGAACGGAAGGGTATCTATATACGCTATGACCCAACCATAACACACGTGTACTGGGAATTCGTGTCAGGATCACCCTAACGAGCCACGCGACTTTCGTGGACGTAGGCCACGATTTACGTACGGTCCCTACATGTTGCGGAAGTGTTCCTACTGTTGTTCGGCGCATTCAAGCAACAATACTGTAAGGCGATACCATGAATTGTTATAGTTTTCCATGCTCGAATAAGAGTAAAGGTCTCACCACGTGTATGGTTAGGGGCTCGAAGACATTCGCCCAGGTCATCCCTAGGAGTCGGTCATCTGGTGCCAGACTGACGTGTTAATCGACTGGTCCCTTCAAATCATTGCATACTACTTACACGTAATATACCCACAAGCTGAATTCGAGCGAGAGTGGCCTGCACGGGAGCTTACCAAAAGCACCACCGCTCTTGCTTACCATATTACCCAAAATTTTTGCTCATGGGAACTGACGCTTCTACGCTGAGTTGTTTTGTTTGCCAATGAGGTGCAGTGGTTTTCCAGTACTGGTAATCGCTGACAGGCAATGGAAGGAACACATACGATGCTGACGGGCACAAGGGAGGGGTAAGACTGACTCTTTCGCCATTTTCGAGGCTAATAATAACTGCAAACAGCATCAGGACTGATTCTGGTGTCGTCAGAAAGGCTACGGTCACTTTTTCTACTTCTTATCAGGAAGTCATGGTCCAACTCACCCTTTTGCTTTTGCACTCGCTTCTTCAAAAGTTCCTGTCGTCTTCCATCAAATTTGAGGTTCAAATCCTTGATGAAACGAAGTGCATCTGGCGTGAGAATCTTCTCGTCACCAGTATTCAACGGAGCGGTCAACTGAAATAGCTCCGCTGCTTTTACTTCCATTTTGGCGAATTTATACTGAAAATCTTACCACAAGGATCTCTTCATCATCGCTGCTGGCCGTAATCGTCTTGAATTGAGCTTCTTCAGTGGAACCTGTCAAAGCAGTGGTACTGGACATACCACCAGTGACTGCATTCGAGATGTGATCGAAGTAGCCGGTACCCACTTCCCGTTGATGCTTCACCGCTGAATAGCCGTGCCTGAAGGGGTTTTCAGTTGGATGGGTATTTGTATTTACTATGGAAGAGAGATGCCTGGCACTCACTGTTCAGCGGCGAACTCTGCTTCCTGGAGATTTGAATACGCCAACATTCCCTTTTCTCTGTAATTTCGTGCCAGGTCGAACATACTGAAGCTGTTTGCATGGAAACCGGCTAAGGTGATGAACTGGTACTTGAAACCAAGGGCACCGAGCTCCTGAAAACAGATACACTGAAGACTCTGAAGGGAGGAGATACTTATTCTGGCCCGGTAGGAGTCCTGAGTCCTGAGTCCCTTCCTTTTCATGGCCAGATCTTACCTTTTGGAATTTTTCCAATTGGGATGAGCTAAGATGCTTCTTCCAATTGAATGATGGCGAGCAGTTGTAGGCAAACATTTTGTCTGGATAGACCTGGAACAGCCAAAATAATTCGTCATCCTTTCTCCCTTTAGGTCGAGAGGGTAACCTTTCGGACTCCTTCGGCAAATTCTCTAGCATCAGCGATGGTTGGATGGCTGGTTTCCATCCAAATCAGATCACAATATGGTGCATAGTTGATGGCTCTCTCAATACAGTACTGTAGAGCCATTGAATCTTTCAACCTGAACGGATAAAGAGTTTTTGGTAGCATAGAGAAGTTTACATTGTATCAAGGATTATAAGAAAGTATAATGGAGTATGAAGAAGTATAACTGGACAGAATGTAGAAGAAGAAAAAAGACTTGCAAACCCTGAATGCCTACTGAAATGGATAAGCGAACGCCAAACCGCGGAGGAACTTCAAATGAAAAAGGAAATTTGCTTGAATGTAATTCAAGCATACTTGGTCACGCCACGCGCTTCGCTTCCATATAGATTTGCAGGGTATTCGAATACGCTAGTGTAGCAGTCAGAGCATTAATCGTTAGAGAAAGGCAGTCTGACAAGAAATATGAGCCTGTCCCTCAGATAGGCTGTAAGTTAAACCTCAGGAAGATGGAGGCTTCAACGCCGCGAATAAAAAATCAAACAGAATTAGGGGGTATTCAAAAATGCTATCAATCCTTGGTTTGCGGCCACTGCACTATCGCCCCCTAACACTCGATCTACCACTGAGGCTAACAGTATTACAGATACCATAACACCTCTCCCGACTTACTGGGCCTGGAAGCGCCAGCGTCGATAACCTAGCCTAGAGTCTTAAAGTCCTAGAAAATCGAATCTCAACCTTCAATTACAGAGAACCCTACNAGAAAGGCAGTCTGACAAGAAATATGAGCCTGTCCCTCAGATAGGCTGTAAGTTAAACCTCAGGAAGATGGAGGCTTCAATGCCGCGAATAAAAAATCAAACAGAAATAGGGGGCATTCAAAAATGCTATCAATCCTTGGTCTGCGGCCACTGCACTATCGCCCCCTAACACTCGATCTACCACTGAGGCTAACAGTATTACAGATACCATAACACCTCTCTCGACTTAGTGGGCCTGGAAGCGCCAGCGTCGATAACCTAGCCTAGAGTCTTAAAGTCCTAGAAAATCGAATCTCAACCTTCAATTACAGAGAACCCTACTGTTTTTACGGCTGTTTACTCCGCCTGGAGGAGAATAAGATCTGATGATACATTTGGTTCATAGTAAATAAGTACTTGAAGACTATTTTAGCTCAAAGTACTCTTTTATCCTGAAGGCTTTGAATTTTTACACATATTCTTACCTATAGAATCCTTCTACGGTGCGTCCAGCATCTCTGTCAATGAATGGATGATCTCGTTCGTCAACATCGCTGTAAAATCCACACATTTTCCCATTTTCGAATGAAAATCTTCATTAAAGACGATCTGACTGCAGATAGCTCTAGGATACCTGGTCAGTAATCGACTGGACTCGGCGTCGGTTCTGGCAACGACAATCGTCGGAGCTCCACAGACGTCAGCAGCCAAACGAGCAGCATTCAGATGCCGAATATGTTGAGCAGTTGGTATCAAAACCTCAAAAATTCGAAGTGATTTTCATTCCTTGATGCCTACCCACTCCCAGCCGCTTACCTTTCCACCCATGTGCCCGCATTTTTTCTCAGAACCCAGCTGGTCTTCAAAATGAACGCCGGCCGCTCCTGCTTCGATGTAAGCCTGAAAATTGTGAGTTAAAAAGATGTCCGCGACTCTCAAAAGCTCCCGAGAAGGGAACTCAACCAGATGTGGAATAATTGAGGGATTAATAAGTTAGTTCAAGACCTCCACGTTAGGATAAGGTAAAGTAAATAAGGTAAACAAATAAGGTCAATAANTGGTCTTCAAAATGAACGCCGGCCGCTCCTGCTTCGATGTAAGCCTGAAAAATTTGAGTTAAAAAGATGTCCGCGACTCCCAGAAGCTCCCGAAAAGGGAACTCAACCAGATGTTGAATAATTGGAGGGTTAATAAGTTAGTTCAAGACCTCCACGTTAGGATAAGGTAAAGTAAATAAGGTAAACAAATAAGGTCAATAAGACAAATATGAGCAATTTGGCTAATATGGGCTTATTAAGCAGCTTGGAATCACGAATTTCTTCGAAATTTCCAATTTTTTCCAATTTTTCAGTCCAATTTTCCGACCCTTTAAGGATTGCTGAACCCCATAGCTTGCAACCCTCTCAGAAAGTGGCCTACACAGCCCTTTGGGGAAAATCAACTGATCTCTCTGCCTTTTCCATTGGCGTTCGCCGTTCTAACAGCTTTGTTTACCCCATTGTAGTTTACACTAGACGCTGATAACTAACCGACGACTCTGTTGATTGATATTCTGTGTGATATTGTGGCCGATTAGAGGCCAACCGAATGATAGGAACGAGTTGTACAAGCATATTTTACAGGAGAATCCTTGAGTCACCCAAATGGGAGCATGACTGGTTGTAATTTATCGAGTTGTTTACTGTTTGTTGATGTTTTGTAGAGACCCAGCGACATATAATAACACTATACAGTAAATATGTAAATATGGTTGATATGCTGATATGGCCATGGTTATGGAGCATTTGAAAAGTTAGATTAGCCATTATTAAAGTATAGTAATTTGTAATGGCACTATAGTAAATAAATAAATAAATAAATAAATAGGTAAATAAGTAAACAAATAACAAGAAGCTGCGGTTCAGCGAAGCCTGGGAGTTGAAAACCTTCCATGAATTAAAACTGCATGGTGGCTAGCCCACTTGGGTGATACCAAACCCTATGGGAGGNTCAGAACGGACTGATCGGAGGCAAGCGTCATCATTTCGTTTTTTGAGAGTAACTTCCCCGAAAGGCTACAATGGGAGCCTCTGAAAACCTCGGAGGGCGTTCTACCGAAGCAACTTTCTTCGCAGCTTGGAAAAAAGAGAAAAATTGATGATTCTGCAAAAAGGCCTTAAGTACATTGCGAGGTCGTGGCAACATCGCCATATTACTCCCATCCAGTATGTCATTGAATGGGCATGAAAGATGTTGTCGTATGTGCGTAAACAACGGGTAGGGAACAAAGTACGGGCAGTCCCTTGTTATTTCCAAAAACTCCAGGGAATACTGTTTTCCGTGGATCAACTCGAAAATATGAAAAATCCTGAGTACCTTCATCAATTCAAAACAGTTCAGGGCTCCTCCGAAACCGGCTTCAGCATCGGCAACAATCGGTGCATACCAGTCTCGTTGAGCCAGGTAGTCTTCAGCTTCGACGGCTTCAATCTGAAACATCAGCAATTGGCCCGGCGTTCGGAGCTACTTGGTAATCCTCCCAAAAATTTGGCTTTCCACCAGTCCTCCCTCAGTCTTTAAGAAGAATCTAGGGTCCAAAGATTACCTGATCTGCCCTTCTGAGCGATCGATTGATCCTACGGCATAGTTCAGGCCCAGAATTGGCTGGGTACAATGATTGATCTGGGTACATATCGCCTGCCGTATTAGCATCGGCTGCCACCTGCCATCCTGAAATGTAACCAGTAATTCACAGAGAACATCTCTGGGAAGGCATTTCAGTACCTGACAGATAGATGGCTTTCAATCCTGCACGGACCATCTGTACAGCTTGATTTCCTGTTTGGGCTCCCAGAGCAGGTACAAAGGGTTCCGTATGGAGTAGTTGCCATAGCTGTAGCAGAAAGTTGAAGGATTCGAAAGGGCTACGAGGGGATAGACGTGGAACTGACCTTATTAGCCCCACGAGTGGCTAGGGTGTACTCGATCTCCACAGATCCTCGTAGTTTCAAGACATCTTCAACCTTAATGGGTTACACCTTCGGATTAGATAGTGATAAAGGAAGATATTCAAAGATATTACGTGATAGTCTCGGATGATTCCTTGAAATCGTCCTTTAGGGGCAGCCTTGACCACCTAAATAGTCAGCAATAAGTCGATAGAGCGAACGGGCGAAGAAAATACTCGAAACAGTAGGCTATCCATCAACTGGTATTGAGAAAAGTAAGAGATGTTACAAAGTAAAAGTAGTAAACGGCGACATTTAGGGGTATATCAATCGATGATAACATATCATTTGAAAAAGATAAAGGACACAAATAGAGTTATGGATTGATCGGACCTGACACGGGCCTTTTTTGGGCCCAAGGCCGTCCATGAATCCTTATCAATAACAAAATACATGCCAATTATCTGGCATGGCCCCATGTTCGGAAGTGGGAATTACCCATTCAATGATTACGAGTTAACAGCTCAAACTTGCAGAAGTCGGAGTTCAAATTGTTGTCGCTTTTTTATTGAAGTTTATCTGAGTTCAATTGAAAACACCTTAACGTACCTGATACCAGTTCTTAGCGACCTGCGTCGTCATGTTGTGGGTGTAGATCGGACCGGAGTTGGGCGGCGACTGGCTTTTATACGAGACCACCCCCTTCCTGGTCAGACACTACGATGAGAGAGCACACACAACTATCGATAACGCTGTGATGGTAACTGAGGGGTCAGAACAGAGGGCTAGTAATCGTTCTTTGATGTAGCTATTTTTGTGGGCTACGGGTAGCCATCGTATCGAGTAGGCCGTCCCAGTACAAGTCCAGGAGGGACTTCGGCAGGCTCTGGAGAGAGTAGACTATTCACGAAAAACTGGGAGTGGAACGGGCAGGATAAAGGCAGGTGAATGGCAAGTGGCTTCTACCTCAGCGTATGCATTTTGACGAAGCTTGTCTTCAAGTTATCCTGTGTAACCTATTACAAGATATAAGCTTGTAATCTATTCACTTGTTTATTTGTTTATCGATTTACTCCCTTCCTTAATTATTGACTTTCCTATCTATCTACTTGCATATTCATTTGATTAATGATTATTTTTGCTTACTTGCTAATTTGATCATTCACTTTCCATGTTTACTTAATTACTTAACCGTGCCTTCCAAATTGGACCATTATAAATCATTTCCGTACAAAAAGGGATGATACCTTATGTGGTCATATGGTTTATGGTTGTTGACCTCTCAGCAGGATCACCCTCTATGTCAAAGCCTTCCGTCAGAAGAATTTCGCGGAGAAACTCGAGCTTAAACAAACCTTTCTCTACTCGAAGACCTTTGTCTCATTGGGATTACTGCACAGACTGAATCCAATAATTTTTAGAATTTTTTGCATACAACAAGAATTTTAAAAAAATGCTTTCAGAAAACCTTTCAAGGCTACGACACTTTTTCTTACTTTTTCATTTTTTGTGACAATAATGACCTTTAAAAATGACGGTAAAAGGGTAATCAAAAATATGCTTTTGACTTTGCCACTGCCTTTAGCAGCTCACATGGGAAGACGACTGCATCCGATCCTTGAGTACGAATAATAATGATTGATCCGTTAGGCAGTTCCCAGATAAAAAGTGAAAGGATAAAATAATAAGGTTTCAGGATTCATAAGGTAATAGTAGTAATAATAATAATAATTGTAAAAATAATAAAAAAATAATAATGTACAGAAGTCTTCAAAAAAGTCTTTTGCGTAGATTTTTGGACGCTATAAACTGTGAGTTGTGGAGAGGTTTTACTGTAAGTATTTCAACCCAATTTGAAAGCCGGTTGTTGTTGTGGAAGCCAGTAGACCTGACCTTCGCCAACCAAAGAAAAGTTGAAGTGCACTGTCTAAGGTAAACAGGTAGAGAATGAAGGTAAGTCAATCATCAATCACACTCTGCTGTTTTACTCGCCACTAAGGGGTAAATAAGATTCTCTTGAAAACAAAGAACGATCAGCTCTTGAAGAAACTTCCTCCAGGATACGCCATGTATTCGCATTTCATTGATATTTGGTGCAGTCAAACAAAGTCAAGGACTTAGAACTCGGCAAAGTGTACCAGAGAATTCGTATAATCAAGCATGTTGACGAATTCCCATGAATGAAAATCCAGAATCGAAGCCTTAGTACCCCAGTCCCACTATTGCTTCTTGCTACCGATGTTCGCAAAAAGTGATAGTATTCGAAAGTATAGGAATTACCAAAATAATCAAAAAAAATCAGAAATTTTTGCAAAATAATTGAAGAGCTTAGCTCTGCTCAGTCCAGAACAGCCTCCTTGTACTGGCGACTATTACTCAGTATACAAGGCAATATCGCCCAGTATTTCTAGATATTGTTATTGTCCACAAATCAGTGAAACACTGTTTTGCTGTGGATAACGAAGCTCTACATGGAGAGCGGTAAAATAAAAAGCCAATGTTGATCGTGAAGAGCGTAGGAATTTTTGAGGTGGCGAGCAACTCCATTTCTTTCAACGGGATGAACAGTTTGAGTTTCACCCCGTTCTGGTTCTGCTTCCGAAAAAACTCAACTTTTCTTTTATGCTTGCTTTTCATTTTTTGTTTTACTATTATTTTATTTTCTATTTTTTTAACTTTACTTTATTTATGGAGCAAAATTTGCCTTCACAAGGGTTATATTCGTTCATCGTTATAGTTCCCAGTATCAAACATGCCCACATATCTTTGGGAGCATTCACCTGAGGAGTCAATCTGATAGGGGCTTAGATCGGTATCTTTAAAGATCATCGAGCACGTGTACTTTGGACCTTCGCCATCGGGATGAACCGGCTCGTAAAAGCCGTTCCCAGGGCGCGGACCACGGAACGTAGGATTCGGGGATCAGAGACCAGAAATCATCTGTAATCAGTCATTGAACACCAACAGTCAAAACTGTCTGGTTTCGATTCACCTGGCTTCTAATTAGGGAAGTAAGTGATACCGGACCGGATCTCACCTTGAGATTTCATCCGATACCTACAATAGGGTAGGTACTCTCTGGAACCCTCCTCAAAGTAGTGGTATTGGAAATGGGTCCTGTTCTAACATATCCATGGAATGTGTATGGGGTGATGCCCTCTACAATGGATGAGTTAGTGCAAAAATAGAAATTAAGGAATCCTCCATAATCGAGTAGAGGTTGAGTGATCAGCGATGTACCAGTCTGTGGGAGGCACATGGCTGCTGAGTAGTTCTTCAGTGGGTTCGTTCCATGTTGGAAGGAAGGTCGACCGTTTTGAAGATTACTCCACATCCTTTTGATAACAGTTCTATCGCGAACTGCGGCGAAACCAGTAGTTGCCAAAACAAAAGCAATCACGTGGGTTGCGATAAGAAGGTCGACGCAACGAACGGCGATAGTTTCCTGGGGGATTCCCCTTATCGAATATTTTGTCACCACGGTCACCTCAAGTGCAACTTCTCCAATGATGCATGGGGAAATTCTGCCATCGCAAAGTGAGCATTGTGATCACCACAATACCGATCCTCTCTTGGTAATTCTGGAACCCATAATCTTCGCTCCCAACCAGGCATTTTTCAGAATACACTTGCTCAGAACTTTGCAAGACATTGGATTCAAAGAGAAACGTGATCAGAATCGCAATCAGTCAGTTGGTTATTCGAATTGGGTGCCACTTGAGCGCATGCATATTGAGAAGTATAGTCTTGATGAAGCCAGCCCGTGACGGCGATGGGGCATTTCGAGCCGTACCCGACGGCTAACAGAACGAGGACTGTGCTCGTGCCCTTACTTGAAACCGCTTCGAGTAACCTAAGTTCAGTACAGCACAGTGACCTAAAAGTGGTATCCTTGTGCACAGCCAAAATACTAGACAACTGTCAACGATTTTGGGGAACTCACTCCAATTGAAGATCCCTCTGTCGCTCTGTTCTCCCTTTCTTTCCAGAGTGACCGAAAACACCCATCTACCTACCATTGGCTTGGTTCCCAAAAGCCATTCCAAAGCTTCTGCTACTTCAACAGATATGGAAAGCTCACAATACCTTTGCCAACGGCAATCTTTTGTTTCATCTCAACTTTCTGTTGGATTTGTCCCCATCAATTCCACCTAATGCTCCATAATACACATTACTTTTCAAAGTAATAAAAAAGTGCAGTGGCCGAGTAGAGTGCTACTTTCGTGCTTGATTTTGTTGTCACTTCTCTCAAAGTGCTGACCTCTTAAAGTTAAGCACATGGGCAGGGGTCAAAGTTCGTGTACACTTCAGCGAGACGCCATATGACTTCATAGGAATGCGTGGAAACAAACTGTTCCCACTGCCCTATCCTTTACATTTCCACATGTCCGCTTGCTTACCTATCTTTGTCAGGTGGAAAAGCGACCAGATGAGAGGCTTCTGTTGGGAACATAAGGATCATTGCTGATATACCGAGCCGTTACAGTATCTACTGATGAGCCACAGCACTATGTTCAGCCTATATAGCACACATTTTTAGAGCCAGAGAAAGTTTTGCAGGTCTCTGAACGAGAAACGATTCTGAACCATGGCAAGGGGTTCCTCGCTCAGACTTACGAAGGGAAAAGCACCGGGTTGAGCGGAAAGGGACTCTGAGTTGGGATGGAAGGAATATTAGTTAGAATGATATTGGCTTACTGAGAGGGCGCAGGGCACGATCACAAAATCGAGTGGTCCCCTCTGGCTACAAATGCAGGAACTTCAAGCCCCGTGAACGTATGATACAGTAACTTCCTAGTGCCGCAGCACTCACCCCGTGGGCTTCGTCTGGGGTACCTTTCTGTTGTGTCGTATATGTGACGGGTGTTTGAAGGCACTTGAGTTCGGGTTACTGTGTAATACATTCACGGGACGATTAAATCCGTCTTGTCCAACTACATCGTTACCTTAAACTCTATTTGCCCCATTCTTTACATCCTCTCTATTAATTTCAGGCGACCTCCCTCTTTTTGAATAATTGGACCTCGGATACGTTCATATATGAAGAGCCAGGTTTCACTTTACGCATAATATGTACGGACTTCCACTACGGAACCTCCATCCTTACTGAGTGAAGTCAACAGCCATGGACTCCTTCCCTGGAGGTCGCTACCGCTGTTCGAATTCCCTGACGAACTTTGTACTTCATATTTTGGAGTTAAGTGCATGTGTCCAATAAATACCTTTCAGGAAAGGCTGTTCTTCGCAGGAGTATCTCTCGCACCCTGTCAACCTTGAAGTGTACTACCCTTCACAAACAAGAGGTATTTGGAAATCTGAAAGGTCAAGACTAATGAAAGTGCATCAATCATTCAAAATCCCCATCGTTTGTTCTAATCAGCTTTGTGTCGTAAAGGTGAAAGTCCAAGGCCTTGACAGTATGTTCTACGCCAAGCCCTGTTAAATGAGTCGTACTTCCCGCGATAAGAGGTCTTCGAGCCACTCCTGTAACTTCTGTCACCTTTTCGAGTCAGTACGGAAGCAATTAGTAAGCATTTATTGAAAATCACAATATTTGGTTTGTAACCCATTGAAAGCTGATATGACGATTCGTTTGTGGGAGACATTTAGCAAACCTAACTGGGAATGTCCGAAGAATGATTTAGCTGACAAATTTCGCGAAACTGTAGAAACAAAGCAAGAAAGAAACTTCGAACTAGAGAGCATTTCTAAAGTAAATTTGACAATAATAAGAGTGATAGTTTCTAAAAAGGAATGAAACCGTACCTACAATCTTTTTGCAAATTTATTGTGCCTTTCGGAGATTGTAGATGAAATAGTTTTTCCAAAAACTTCATAATCCCCATGATATCCTCTATAAAATGAAGAGTTCCACCATTAGCTTACATTCACATAAACTTGCTTTTGTCGAATTTGGGTGAAATCCTGCCTACAATTTCCACGGGGATGTTGATATTGTGAAATAGGTGATGTGGTGGCAAGGAAGCGGGCGCAATATCACTCACGCTTACACTCGGGATCGAATTTCGAAATCCCCCCATTCCAACCATGTCCCCCATCAATCTGGTATTGATTAACTGGTATTGAACTTGCCTGGGAGATAAAAGCCTTGACTTGTACATTAGCTGGGCATCGCAAGTCATTGTAAAGGCCATATAGGCCACCTGCGCATTCAAAACGTCACTACAGCACTGGATTGTAGTCGAACGGAGGCGTATCCCAAAAACGGGACTGATTGGCGCCTAACAATAGGACTTTATCCACTTACTGTATATTTCTTTGCGCTGAAACCTTGACAGAGCCCCTTCGCCGCTAACGTATGCCAAAAAGGAAGGTCCGTGAAAAACTTTTCCATCTACAGTCATCGAAAGGCACAACAACGCTGCCAAGTTGAACCAATTTTCAAAGCTCGCACAAGGGGAAAGCCTGGGACTAAAAAAAGTCTTGGAAGCAGAAAAGTAAGAGAAGCATTGGCACCTGGGCAGTGCTCGTTATCTGGCGCGTGAAAATGCGACAAAGTGAGAAAGCAGCAAAGAACAAAATCGACACCTATACAAGAACAACTGCTCAACATCACAAATAATTATTTGAGCTCAGGATTTGTCTAAAGTATGAATGACGAGACCAACGAGAAAGTTTTAATTGTTACTTTTCGAACTTGTGCTCTGAGAGCGATCCGACGATGCCGTCCCGTCCGAGCTCTCCGATTCCGAACTTGATTCAGAGTCAAATTTGCTGAAATGAAAAGGTCAGGTATCTTGAATGGATGCTAAGTTCCTGGTTATAAGTTCAGAATACCAAAACAAACCGAGTAGCCACTCTCGGACCTCAAAAATGGTTTGCTCATGAAAAACGTTTTGTCTTTGCCAATCTGATGCAGCATGCGGATTCAATTACACGGATGTCTTAATACATTAACTTTTGTTTGGGGTGAAAAAGGTGCTGAATCGGAGGAGAAGGCGTTGTATGAGACTTCGGTTCCCAGTCGGATTTCGTAGCCCACAGAATAAAAGGGTGATGCAGTCGGCTTACATGGACATGAAGGTAGAGCTCATGACAATTTAGATAAATGTTCATGAGGTTAATCGAAACTAGTCAAACAAATTGGGTTGTACGAGATTCCAGCGATGGAGTTGTTTTCTGTACGAGTTTTCGATCGTATGTAAATCCGTAAGGAGTTGGGTATAGCACCCCTACCTGCAAGAATCGCTCTTCACTAGACATTTGATCTACTGGGGAATCTCCTAAACCATTCCGTGGGTTGTGCTTTCAAGTTAATGCGAGACAGCTCCCGTAACACAAGAAATCGGTCTATTTGTGGAAGTCAACGTAGGTGAAAGTCCATACCTTCCACTGCCTGATTTGATCTCTGAAAATGATGAACCAGACGAGGTTGGAGTGATCGACCTGCTTCCAGTACTTGTAGACAACCTAAAATTTGCCTTCATCACTTGTGCTTCACTCCATTCCTCAAGTGTGACCCATTCAGACCACAGATGGGATTCTACTCATTATGAGCTCCCTGTGAATTGGCCACTAACCTCTCCTTAGTGCTTGAGCTCTTTCGTTCGAACCTGGTAGATTTCGCTTCGAAATGTCGTGTACGCACACCTAACTCGTCGAAAATTTCTTCCCTTAGGTGTTCGAGATCGTCCTGAAAGTTGGAGACTCCATTCAGTGAGTCGATAGATTGTAAAAGACAGCCCACCCAGGAAATCTGGTCACTCCATTGCTCCATAGCGACATCCACTGCTTCATTGATCACTCTGAGTAATATTCTGGATAGAAAGAAATCGCCGAGGAAGTATGAACGCATACCCATCGGTGAAGACTTCTCGATCAATTACGTAAGAATAAACAGCGTCCTTGAACAGATCGAAGAGAAATTCGTCTTTAGACGGCCGTCGACCACCTTCACGTCTTCTATCGGCATCTTTCCATGAAGTGCTCTTGGGGGGTGGAAGAGGAGGTTTTGGTTTCTGAAAAAACCAAATTTTCCAGAGCAAGGTGAACGGGTTAGAGTTTCGCACAAACCTTTCTATGCAAAGGTGGCTGATAATCCTTAGACTGCAGCAGTTTCGGCTTAACGTCGATGCCATTCAGTGGAAGACGTAAGGCTGGTGGCATTCGTCCTTGTGAAGCTCCAACGTATTCGGCCAAGTCACGATGTGGACGAGATAACTGGGAAGAAATTTGCTAGGGTGAAAATTATATAAAGCAGAAATAAGTCTGCAAAAATTGAAAGTGTGTGTTATGGAACTGATATGTTACCAAATTATGAAATTACTAGAACGTATGATATTTGTAAGTGATGTAGAGGCAAGTGGCGCCCTATCAAACACCCCTGGTCACGGGTTCGAATCCCGGATCGATTTCCGTTTGGGCCAACCAAGCCTTCCATCCTTCCCGAGTCGGTTGATTGTTACCAGGATCGTCTGTGAGAATAAAAACATCTTGTATCTCGTGTACTTAGCCAGCCACCGCAATCACTGTAAAGGCCTCATACGCATTCTGTATGTCACTACCATTCTGAATGGAAGTGATATGCGGGCACGCAACCCTCAGACGGGATTGAACATCGCCAAAAACGTCAACTCTTCCATAGTGTAAAAGATAAAGGGCGTGACGGTCAGAAAGCAGGAGAATCGGTTCCACTCCTACCGATGTCGACGTTTTGTCCATTAGTGGCCAACCATATGAGACAGTCCCGCCATCGCACAGATTACCACTTTACCCCGTATGGTCTATGAAAGGGCGATTACTGCCGTGTACTTCACGGAAGATATTGAGTCCGGAGGATTCTGTGCCCAACGGATTAGTTCAAAAGAGGGTACTGGCGAGAGGGGCGATTACTGCCGTGTACTTCACGGAAGATATTGAGTCCGGAGGATTCTGTGCCCAACGGATTAGTTCAAAAGAGGGTACTGGCGAGAGGAAGGGAAATTTGTTGATTTTTTCAGCTTACCTTGATATCAGCTCCCCGATACTCGATATGTGAAGGACATTACGATTCAGTGGTAATTTTTGATCACACGGCGGCGGTCCAAATATTAAGAGTTGGCAAAAATAGTGTAGGGTTCACTGATGGCTAGCGTTTTCGAGAAATAAGTGGGAAATGCCCTACGGGATGGCAGATCGTGGTGCAAAACTTCGACCCGGGCGAGACACGAGCCCGCACTTGTGCATTTCGGACAGCATGTTTTCGTCCTTGCCCATTCCTGAAACCGTAACTGGGAGCAGAATCTGAGGACATGACAAGTACTGCTATACTCGATTAGTAAAAGACATCACGATTTAATCGTAATTTTTGATGTTTTCGTTTTTCAATCAAATGATTGCTTTATTAGAAAGGCTAGCGAATGTTCAACAGTTCACTTCTTCTTATTGTAGAGACAGACGCCATTCAGGATCTGGTTCTTTGGCGTGGTTTTGAAGATGAGGTTGCATCCGTACTTTGAACCCTCGGGGAGATTACGAACCTTAAAAGGAAAATTACTAGTTTTCGCCTTCAAACATGAGCTGCTCTAGTGACGGCGTGTAATGTGCTATTCGGTGTACCCAGCAATCACTCCTTTTCTATCTTGGTTTGGTACGTCTCTTTCGAAATACTCGCAGCTGCTTAAATTACATTCTTGAGCAGTTGCGGGTTAATGGAACAACGAAATGAATGAAGTGAAAAGACTGGTTTCGAAGAACTGAAAGAAGTGGAGTTGTGTGGCTAGGGATAGAAAGAACATCGTTACGCAATAGCTCGAAGAACTGAAAGAAGTGGAGTTGTGTGGCTCGGGATAGAAAGAACATCGTTACGCAATAGCCCAGTTTTGATGGGACCAGCATAGTAAGTGGCATTCTAGGACAGCTCCATGTTCCGAATCTTATTGGATAACCTTTGTCCTGGCAATCGGGCTAGATTCCTACGACTTATGATGGTAACAATTGCTCCACAAGAATCACGCATTCTTCGATTTCATACTTACCTTCTTTTCGTTTTTCTTGAAGCGGTCTCTGAAGGTATTCCAAGTCTTTACTCCTAGTGGTGAGGAATCGTCCTTCGGGAAAATCCTTAACATATGAGATTGCATGTTTAGGGAAGTGAAGGAAAGCTCTAAATGGATGATTAGACTAACTTTTTTCCTTTGATAATCACGTCGGCCTTCACACTACCCGGAGACTGCAGATATTCCAGTGCCCTCTTTTCCAGCTCATCACTCCAATCCTGCATGTAAATTTTACAGAGGTACAAGTTCTATTTAGCTGAATTCTTGAAGGCTACTAACTATTTTTCTGTTCAAAATGACGCTGAGTTCTTTGAAAGCTGATTTCGCCTGTCTATTTAAGGTCTCTGAAAATGTGTTTGAGAGTATCGGAATGGCTCTGGCTAGTATGATCACAAGAATTTTGATACTATGAAATACGTCTGCTTTGCCGTTAGAACTCACCGTAGGAGGCTACATTCAATAGGAAGTAAGTTAGCACTGTGAAGATGAGAAGCATTTTGAATGTGACTGAATTCTCTGGCCACCCCTTCCTATTTAAGGGGCATGTACATTTTCAGCACCTAAGGGTTTTTTGGCAAAAAATGATTTTGTATCACGATGTATGTGTATCGACAATCAGTGGTTCTAAGAGCTCTCTCATGCATTTCGTAACGATATCAGAAAGTAGTATTGGTTTTTCGCTTCCGAGGGGGTGTACAATGATGATAGCTGAGAGAAGAGCAGCTCATCAAATAGCCTTTCGTTGCGTTTATACAGTTCACCAATGGAGCGAACAGAGCAAAACTCCTATTCATATCGATATGTGACAACTTGCAAAGCTGGTGACTCGTTTCTGTCCTAAACCCCCTTGGCATAGCTTAAAAGAAAATGCTGGGACCACTTGGGGGAACAATCTGTTTGGTGAATACACAGTGAAGAAGTTAAAAGACGGATGCGTATCTACTCAACAGATGGTCCGTACAACGGCTGGAACAGCGGAGCTACCAAAGAAATCCCACAATCCTAAAAATTTTGAGAACGCGAAAACCTAAAACCTCGAAAATCACGTGCAGAAACCACTACTGAAAAGAATAGTGCTGAATAGGGAGACGGACAATAGTATCGGTTTTGTCGCGCGCGACAGTAGCGGACCATTCGCCTTGTTATTACAGCTCTAGCGTTTTTCATACCGCTCAATCGATACGCGATTATTTTTTTTGGAATGATTCTGATGTTCGTTCGTTTGTTCCTGCACTTCGTACTTGCTGCTGCATTCATTCGCGCGCGGCGTGTCTCGCCGCGACGCGACAGCGTACTGTGCTTCTTAGGCGGTTAGTGAAAATCGAAATTCATGCTGAAGGACAGCTGAGGGTTTTGAACAAAATTAGTTTGAAGGGCGCCAGCAGTCATTGCTCGGTCCTTACAAGAAGCCTGAACTACGGTGTGTCTTGACGTTTTCAGCAATAGCAGTACCGATATCATTATACTTTTTCCTTTACTGCCTAATTTACATAAGGGAGTCAGTCACTTCTGCAGCTATTTTTTATTCGGAACGAAATCCACTTCACCATACAGAGTTTCTCGTACAAACAGCTGCTGAACTGTACATGGCCACTTCCCATAAATAGATGGGACGACCGAAAATTCGGTCACTTACAAAATGCTTCTCATCTTCACGGTGATATCTTGTTTCCTGCTGAATGTCGCCTCCTACGGTGAGTTCCTCCAATTACGGCAAAGCAGACATATTTCATACTATCAGAATGTCTTGAACCATATCATTAGGTCTAATCCAATACTCTCAAAAACGTTTTCAGAGACCCTAAATGGACAGGCAAAATCAGCTTTCAAAGAACTCAGCGTCATTTTAAACAGAAAAATAGTTAGTAGCCTTCAAGAATTCTGCTAAATAGAAGGTGTACCTCTTTAAAATTTACATGCAGGATTGGAGTGATGAGCTGGAAAAGAGGGCACTGGAATATCTGCAGTCTCCGGGTAGTGTGAAGGCCGACGTGATTATCAAAGGAAAAAAGTTAGTCTAATCATCCATTTAGAGCTTTCCTTCACTTCCCTAAACATGCAATCTCATATGTTAAGGACTTTCCCGAAGGACGATTCCTCACCACTAGGAGTAAAGACCTGGAATACCTTCAAAGACCGCTTCAAGAAAAACGAAAAGAAAGTAAGTATGAAATCGAAGAAGGCATTATTCTTGTGGAGCAATTGTTGCCATCATAAGTCGTAGGAATCTAGCCCGATTGCCAGGACAAAGGTTATCCAATAAGTTTCGGAACATGGAGCTGTCCTAGAATGCCACTTACTATGCTGGTCCCATCAAAACTGGGCTATTGCGTAACGATGTTCTTTCTATCCCTAGCCACACAACTCCACTTCTTTCAGTTCATCGAGACCAGTCTTTT